GTTGTACTTCTTCCAAGGATTCCTATGATTCTTTCAGATTCACCGATACCACTCAAACAGTTACAATTTCCAAGCCGCTTGACATTTGCGATGACTATTAATAAGGCGCAAAGTCAAGCAATGACGATTTTAGAAAATCAGTGCTTTTCTCACGTTGCGTGGCCGAGAGTGGGGAAACCATCGATTATTTTTGTTTATAACACTCAAGGATTAACCAAAAAATCCATTGGAATCACGATAATTTCAGTATTTGTAGATAACTAACTCTAAGAATAAATAACCTTTATTGAATAGGTTAAGATTGAACCTTATCACTTTCAACTGACAGCTTCTGCATTTAACATCTCTGAAAGCATACCAATACATATACTCACATGCTAGCGATTGGTTGAATTGTGATAAATACATATGAATGACATTGGGTATTGTAATAAGTTTGTAATAAAGTTTTTTATCATAACGGTCCCATCGTTTACATTTAAGACGTATGGACAAGACAACATCTGTCGGGTCCGCTAGTATTGTTATAAATATTCATTTATTTATTATGGCTTTAACTGTAAAATCACTGCTACGTATATTAAAACCATTTAGTTTAATCACAACTCGTAATTGCTTTGCTTAATGATCGTGAAAGTTCACAAATTTTTGTGATGCTTTTGACTTTTGTTATTCTTAAATGGTATGTGAATTTAACCTGCTTTTCCGTCAAACCAAACTTAAATTAGGAATTTTCAAACTTGTGTGAAGTAAATTGTGTGCATACAAAAATAAACGTATTTTCTTTAAAATTTCTTCAATTTATCCTGTTTATTAAAAACTACTCTTCTTCTTTGTAATACATTTATTTAACAAAATGGAGTGAAGATGTACTAATTTTTTACTTTTCTCCACTAGTTTTTTAATCATTATCGGAATAATCATTCCTTCGCGATAAGCTCAAATTCGAGAGGAACAGAGAAGCTGTAAAAAAAACAATAAAGCAAACTAGCGCAGCTCAGAAATGGAACACTTTTGGGGTGACAATTTCTAAATGTAGATTTTTTCCTTTTCTTATTCGGCCGGTCAGTATTAAGGTCACCATATGCGCGATGGTTCTCGGTTGAGCTGAAATATAGCACCTTCTTTAATTTCATCTTTAAACCGACAGAAATCGACAAGAAATACCTAAGAAAAATTCCTTGAAATTATGGGTTTGGCATGATACAACACAAAACTGACTGAAAAATATAATTGTTTTTAATTTTATGATATTATTTAATATATATATATATATATACATATATATTTCATATAGTATGTGTTTTCTTTACGAATCATGTATCATGGGGTGTGGCAAAAATCCTACAAATTCTCGACATGAGTCTAGAAAACTGTTAATATGTTGCGTAATATTTTCAATTTTCGGTTGAAATTGGTAAAATTTGGAATTAGCATTATTCTAATGCGATTGATGGGGATTAATAGGTTTGATGTATATATGTATGTATGGAATGGATATATTGACCATTTTTAATAAAGATAAATGTAAAAAAATTATGCTAATGAAAAGAATATATTATGATGATAGAAAATGCAGGCCTTTTTATTTTTATTACTTCGCACACTTAAGTTTCGTTCATCTTATCGTAGCTTGTTGTGCCACATCGCACTTATCACGTTAGCCTATATTTACAAGAGAAGACAATAACTGATGTGTAGTAAACCGCTGCACCTTAATTTTAATGAAATACTTATGCTTTTGATTTATGCCGGATTCACAGTATACGAATAATAATTGACTGGAAACAAAACTTTTTTATTATAGGTACAAATGTAATATACGAGTATACGCAGTAATGTCTGTAATGCCTTTAGCTTATTTAACTTTATACGCGATATTGAAAAAAAAAATTATGTTCATGTGAGTGAGTTATTAATTACAAAACTCACTTAACCACGCTATTAAGAAAGAGGATTCTCTCACCCGAGGTATGTATAATAAAATTTTTCATCGGAGTTTATTTTTTATGTGGTGGGCCTCAAGCCCTAAGCACAAACGTATGTTACATGATGAAATATTTGCTGTCTTCGAGACTTGGCTTCCACGTCACTGCTGGCAGTCACAACTTCGAGGTCGTTAATAATTTCGTATATCTAGTAACCAGCATCAACACCAATAAAAATGTCTGCTTTGAAAACAAACGCAGAATCGCTCTTGCCAAAATTCGCTCATCATACCCGTCGTACTATATGACGCAGAAGCTTGAACGATGTTAACATCTGATGAGTAGGCTTTGGGAGTCTTAGAGAAGAAAGTTTTGCGAACGTCTTATGGTCCTTTGCGAATTGGCAAGGCGGATATCGTGAGCGAAGGAACGATATGCGAATGAAGAGACAGCGGCTACGCTAGTTAGGTCATGTCGTCCGAATGGTTGAAAACACTCCAGCTTTGAATGTATTCGATGCAGTACCCGCTAGTGGAAGCAGAGGAAGAGTTAGACCACTCAGGTGGAGAATGACCTAGTTTCCCTTGGTAATTCCAACTGGCGCCAAACAGCGAAAAGAAGGCGTGAATGGCGGGAATGACTTTCCTTTTAAGTCTATTACTGATGCTATATTTCTTCAATGCTAATACTATAAATTAAATTCATACTCCTGATAACTACTTAGATATATTCGTTAAACATGCACAAACAATTTTGAAACCACTTGGCAAGCTAAAGCTTTTAAATCTCTACTAGCGATTTGCTTTTTCTTTTTAAATGTGTTACTGCAATTTACTTTCTGCTTTTCTAAAGTATAAATCCATTCGTAAATAGGGACGGTAAACACTGTCAAAATTTTAAAAATTTTATGGATTACCTATATTCTGTCTACGCTACACACCCCGACATTTACAGAAAGTGAATTTTTAAGAATCAGCTAAATAATTAGAAATTCTAACTTTCAACGTATCTTAAGAATTGGAATTAATCAAACAAAGACTTTTTTAGAAAAATGAGAAACAAAATGTAAAATTTTGAAATATCAACTAAGTTGGGAATAATTTTCTTTTCCTTTTTCGATAATTTATTTGATTTTTACCACGCGCATAATTTCTAGGAAAAACAATTTTAAAAGTATTTTTTGTCAATTTCTATCAGTTTGATTATGGATTTGGAAATTTCAGCCAAAGGGCGGACATTCGCGCCGAAATCTTGATTTTCGTAACATTTAATAGAGATTGGCCTTATAACAACATGAGTATTGAAAAACTTATTTCAAAAAGGTTTGAAAAAATTTGTACCTCGTAGAAAGTTAGAATGCAGGTGCCTCAAAAAGATTTTCAGGAGAACAAGATTTTTACATGTAATATATGTATAAACAATAATAACAATAGTAATAAATTGTATTTCTTCCAAACCATAAATTTTCCAATACATTTACAACGTTTAGTTCAATAGTTAATTTAGGTAAATGGAGTATTTACTTAAGACTGCAGCTTTCGCCTCTCCTGAATACACTCAAGTTTTAATTCTTTCAGATACTTTTCTCTTTCAATGCATACAACAGAAACAAATGTTCGCCGAAAATGCCGCAGAGCAACAGAAGCAAATTCAACATTAAAACAATTTGCGGTTCAGAGAAGATAAATAATGAAATGAGGAAACGGAAGGAAAAGTGCAGGTGCCTTAGCGCTCAGGTCAGCGTTTACAGAGTAAATAGCCTATGCGTTCGTATGTTCGTTCACGCTATTTACATAAGCCAACACCGCCGTCATTAAAGTGGCCAGAAAAAGAAGCGAAGAGCCCAGCTGGCGTACTCCCAAGTTGAGATTTGCAATTATTTACACGTGGTCTAAAAAATTAACAAACTCAGCACCTGAGTGTGGTCACAAGCCCATCATTGCGAGCACCGGCCACCAGCCAACAGTCAACGGCCACCAGGCAGCAGGCAGGCGTAGGGCCACGAATTGCATTAAAGAAAATGGTAAAGAGTGCGAATTAAAGTGGGCTTTAAAGGTAACAGAGCGTGTAAAAAGTAAATAGGCACAAAAGGATAATGACGTTGGCTATGTATGCGTATGTCGGCGTGGTAGGGATTGTGAGTGCAGTGGTCATGCTTTAAATTGCACCAAAATATAATTTTTCCTATGCAGGTTAAAGTGTTTGAGTCTTACATATATTTTTATTCATATCACGGTCAAATATAATATATGCTTTTAGCCGAGGTTTTTGTGTAGAGTCAACTGCCAATATTTCCTGGACTTTACTTTAAAGCCACACTTACGATGGTAGAACATTTGAACTAAGACCATTCCAAAATGTTATTTGGAATATTGGATAACAAAACCGCTAGTGTTTGAGAAGTGTTGAAAATTTTAAAATAAAATGTTAAAAAGAAGCTAAAATACTTTCTCCTGTCAGTTCCTTGCCACCATATTTTGGGGCCGTCGATAGGGACTCGGTTCACCCCTCCAGGCTGCCTCAATGAAGACAGCATGCTCGTATTCTCCAGTTTCGAAATAGTCATAATGGCGAATTTTTATTTTTTTGCAGACCATTCAGGTGTTCCCCCTTCCAACTCATCGTACTCGTACACGCTCTTTCTTCAATCTTGTCGAGAATCATTTTTATTGCGGCGGTACGTAGAGAGCATGACTTACCATTAGATAATATAAGAATGTAATTCGATTAAGCTAACGCTTGGTTATCTGTTTTGATTGTGAATTCAGGGAATAGAAGTTGGTTTCAATTTAAATATCCAAAACCTAGAATTTTTGAGGCTTTCCAGACTTTATTTTAAATCGCAGACACAATAACCGAGTACTGAGGTATATAGTACCTCTATTTCAAGACAAGGCAAGGTTCGACGTAGCCTACGCATGTACATATGTCCATTTAAATTTAATGCTAAAAACAAGATAAAGATAAATTATTGAAACAGGCTGACTTTGTCCAGAAGAGTGTTTCGTTCTAGACGAAATGGGGCGGGAATTGTACGAACGTAACCCCAAATCAGAACTGTTGTGCACTTACCTCGATGCCGATTGGTCTGCTTATCGAACATCAGCATAGCGTCCTCAATCTGCAATTAAAGCAAAAAATATAAAATGAAAAATAATCATTAGTTATATGGAAAAAATTACAGATATTTTCTCAGAAATTCATTACAAAAATATATAATGAAAAAAGTGCTAAGAAGCGCAAGTTAAGAACTTCGGCGGAAAAATGCGAATTGCCATTAGCGTGAAATGGAGTTTCATTAAGTTTTGTCACTTTACAGTAAACTATTATGTCTCAATTAAAATAATATAAATGATGCCCGTGCTGTTGGCCTGCTGGGCCATTGGTGGTCATATGAATGTGCGTGCGCCTTCGCCTACTCTGATTGCTGTGTGTGAGTATGCAAAAGTATCACATTGAGGGTGTTGATTAGTTGGGCGATTTTGTTGACACGACCAAGTTGCTGGTCAGGAGAGTGTATGAGACTGTGTCCATCCACTTCATTTGCGCCATTTGGCGTGCTTTTGGTAGCTGATTAAGCTGCAGCAGACAAATTGATGTTCAGGATGGAGGAAGAGAAGATGCAGATGGAGATGGAGGGCGTGAAGTGATTTCACGAGTTGGTGGTGTCCAAAGCAAAAAAATAACACCAAAAAACACACACTAACGATTCTTAGTAGAGGGTGTATCATTCCAACTGCCTTTATTGCCGTGATGAGCTCTCTCTTGTGGTGTTGAATTAAATTAATTATTCAAATGAATCCGAAAAAGTGGAGACTTGTATTTAGAGAACACAATGCCATCTACTAAAATCGATTATTGGTTTCTGAGTTGAATTTGTGCAAGTCAAGTGCTGACCGGACACCCTTTATAAATTCTATATGTAATCATAAGCAGAATTCGCGCTCAATGCCATAACTAGAAACTCGATGGTGGCAGTATCGCTAGTTTACTGCATGGCACACAACTTGCGCAACTCGTCCGCTTTTTTAGTATATGAGCACGCCTCATGTTCGTTGTCAACAAGCTCAGCAGCTGCGAAAACTTTTCCCATTATATCAAATAACTGATAATGCCCCAACTTTGCTGGCAACAACAACAACCGTAACCACTCTAGCTACAGCATGAGCCATTGGATACAGTTTTCGCAGCTACGAATAGCCTCGGCTGATTATTTTAACTCGATTCGTGGGTTAGCTGCGACGTTGTCAGTTTTCTTTTCATCTTTAATTAGTTGGAATCGCTTTTTCATTATGACAATTTTTAGTTTAAAAGTGGCTTACTATAATTATTGGTTCCATGTGCCGGCCAATACCTCAACGGTGACAAAAGTATAGATCCTCTTCGAAATTAAATTTATTAAAATAATATTAATATTATTATTCCGTTTTAAATTCAACTGACAAACTATTCCGTTGGTGTCAAATGTGATTGACCAAATGACAGTATATTTATGCATGTTAAATGACTTTCGCGACATACGACTTATAACCCGTTCTCGCTTTAAATGTCAGTTGAGGCACACATAATTTTTACAACTGAAAATATTATTATTATGAAAAAATTAAGCTAAATTTTCTAATTGCCCGCCGAGTGTATTTCGAACATGCAGTAGGCGGCTTAGAGTAAACTGTCGATCTTTTTTGATCTTGGTGATAACTATTCAACATCTAATCCCAAAAAGGATGCAAGACCTTAGTATACTCGTAAAGAATTAGTTATTCATTTTTATCTTTTTTTTTTTAGAAATTTCGACAAAAAGAGGTTGCTTTGTAAATAAAAATCAATTGGGATTTGTATAAGCAGGAACCATTCGGATCCATCTTTGGTTTTAAAATCGTTTTTTCATATTCATATACAGACGTATAAATTATGTTATGGGTATATAAATATCAATATAAGAGGAAATGCTTATGTTTTTTAAACATAAGTCCTATTAATCAGATAATTATTTCATTAAAAATGTAATGGAAACAAAAAACGCCGAATAAAATAACAAAATTCAATCTGAAATAACAAAAAATTGCAAAAGAGTCTGTTTCCTAAATATTTTGCTTAGTTTTTGAAAAATTAATCATTTTGGTATTTTAATTTTAATTTTCAACCTAATTAAATTTGAAAATAATTGAATAAATTGATTCTTACTTTCAGTTATTTGAAGCTTAATAATCGATTAATACAATTTAATGGTTTTCAGCTCTAAAAACGTCAGTGCCGAGCTTTTAGCACGTTTAAAGTTAGTGATGTTAAAAGGTCTATGCGATTTTTTTCAAAATCGTTATTTCATCATACTTCGACAATTTTAATATCGGGCTTGTAGAGCTTACTACATACTTGTATATTTTTGCTGATAAAAACTCAATTCGTCAGTGTGGTGATGTGGAAATGTGCACTTAACGCCATTGAAAAAGTTTTCGTAATTGCAGGAAAATTGATTAGTGAATTAATCATATTGATGATGAATTTTTTTTTGCACTACAAACACTGAAATTCACTCAAGAGTTTGGCGCGCTCGCAGCTGCTAAGTATGTTGATATTAAATGAATAACGGGTTGATATGGTTGGTTAACTGTTTGCTGGTTTTGATGGTAAATTGACAGTATGGCGATAATGAAAAAGTTTCCACTTCGAGTGGATGAAAATAGTTAAGCAAAATTAGTTGTTTAAAAACTTATGTATACATACAGGCATAAGAATATATATGAGTTAGTTTTTGAATGGATTCAACGTTTTATGTCACTAGAAGCATTTAAAAGTCAAAATCCTGACAAACATTCCTTTAAGGGTGATCGTTGTTAATTAAATCTTTTCATTTATTTTTCATACTCATTTTAAGGCATGGGTGAAAGTCATTGGTATTTGCATAAGATAAATTTATCTATACTACTAAAATTTCCTAGAGAAAACCACAAAATTATATTATTTTCGAAAACGAGAAAAAAGGAAAATTATGTGTAAGTGGGATAAAGCTCGAGAAATTCATCTTTGATTCTACTTTAGTATACTCAGTATATTTCCTACTGAAGGGAGCTTAGCTATAGCCCAACAGCGCCGGTTATGTGCGAATATAAATAAAAAAATAAATGTTCAGACTTGACTTTGTTGTTTGTGGAAAGGCTTTAACTGTATTGGTCAATAAAAGTGAAAGTTTTTTCTCTAATGAAAACTTTTATCAAATGTTGAATGTATTGGGGCTTTCAAAATATGTACTAATCAGGTTTTGTTATGAGTTCAAAACGTCTATTTTAAGAAAAACTATATATGTATGTATTTTCTTAATATATCACATCCCAACGCTCTATTTGACATTTGAAGTTCGCTTATTAATTCTTTATAAAATTTATGCTCTACGGTTTCCAAGAAAATTTTGGACAACATTTATCAAATACTCAAATATCGTGTAATTCATTTTTTACCTCGTCGTGTTCCCAATCTTGAGATTCCGTAAATTGCTCACTACAATCCAGCATTTATGATCGATTTGGAAGTTATGTCACTATATAAAATGGGTTTTTATTGCTGAAGACAAGTTTGGATAGTGGATAGTGTGTTAAGACTTGGGTGCAATACCTTGCTTGAGTCAAACAAAATTCACAATCACTTACGTGATCCTTTTGTTTCCGTTCAAGTCGCTGGTAGAGCTGCTGTCTAGGTTGTTGTTTAACCCAACCTAGTAGAAGTCTCACATACACTATACAGCATTTTTGCGGAACCCAAGATATGTCTTGAATGCTCCCAGAAATTTCAAAAAAAAAATAGTAACGAAGTTCAATTAATGATGTTATATTTCGACGCTGAGTTTTAAAAGATAGTGCTCCACCCTAAATTAAAGGTTGCTAGAACACTTCCGTGACATTTGATGTGATTAAAGCGATGTAATTAAAGTATAACGAAAGTTGATTGAAGGCTATAGATATACAGTCGCCAAAATGATATTATTCAATGAAAGGAACGAATTATGTCAAAGGCAGACATGAAGATGCGTAACATTAACATTTGCCATTTATAACGAATAACAAGAAATCGAGGGTTTCATACATTATATACTATAATCTATCAATATCGCAGTTAAAAAGATTTATCGTTAATCCACGGAGGTTTCAAAGAGGTTGTTAAGGCCTTAAAAGTTTGAGAGCCACTATGTGGTTGTCACAATTGCAGATAATCTAATAAATCGGGGTTAGCATTAACGCAGATTCGTAAATTGATATAGGCATAAACGGATAAAAAATTCCGTATTAAACAGTTTCGAGTTAATGCGTTTTCGCGCATATTTTATTATTTCGTAATTAAAAGCAGTTCTTTCTCTGTGCGTAAATAATTTTTTACTATCTTTCGGAAATACATAAGTTAGTATTTCTACTAACATCTTCTTTATTTACATATTTCGTTTCTTTTTACTTGATTGGGTCGCTGCTTCTTACCGGCGTTCATTAATTTGAGACTTACGGTCTTAATTAAACTACTAAATATTAGGTCAAGTAAAAAGTTTGTTCGGGTTTTTTATTGATTTTTCAAAGTATGATAACTTTGTGTACATTTGTCCGATTTAAGTCAAATATGCGCCGTTTTGTTCGTAAATTTTTTGCCAACGAGATGCCATTTTCATTATACTCCTCTCGTTGAAGGCTGCGTCTCTATGGGCAAAGAGCTCGGAGAGCCAATTTTCACAGGCTTCTCTTGAGGCCAACTTCTGACCATTAAGCGCGTTCGCCATGGATAGGAAAATATGGTAGTCACTTAGTGCCAGGTCTGCAGTATAAGTTGGGTGCTATAGGATCTCTCATCCGAACTCCTGGAGCTTCTACTGCGTCCCCAAAGACGTGTGTGGCCTGGCGTTATCCTGATGGAACACAATTCGGCCTCTGTTGATCAAAGATGGCCTCTTTTGGATGAGTGCTGCCTTCACGCGGGCCATTTGGCTATAGGGGAGCAGCTCGTAGTAGATGATTCCTTGCTTATCCAACAAAACACACAGCAAAGCTGGTGCATTTTTGACATCGAAATTACCGGAACGGAACATAGCAAAACACTTTTGTGCTACACGTTCATTTACAGTATAGGGCTCATAAACTAAATTAA